AGTTTCCACGGAGGGAAAAAGAATTTGTGACTGTCCTAATCCTTTCTAGGACTGAGGGAGGACAAGATACCTGTATTGTCCCAAGTGCATTCTGGATTTTGTTGTCGTCAGTCAAGTCTAACTCTTTGTGACCCTCTTAAAGGTTTTCTTGGCAAAGACACTGGAGTGATTTGCCCTTTTCTTCTCCGGCTCCTTTTTACAGGTGAGGAAACCGAGGCAAACAGGGACAAATGACTTGCTCAGGGTCACACAGCTAGTAAGTATCTGAGGTCAGATTTGGATTCAGATTTTCCTGACTCCAAGTCCAAGGCTCTATTCACTGTACCACCTAGCTGCCCTTGCATTCTGGGTAGAATAATACTAATATTCATGATATTTAATACAAATAACTATCTCTGTCCCTGTTTTATCTCCATTACTAGACCATAACTCTTGTGAAGACAAGAATCATATTCTTTGCAGACCAAAGCATACTATTTGCTATTTTTTTCCTTCTGTTTTGTTTTGTTTCCTCTTTCTGGTGGTTCCTCCTATTGGTTCTAATTCTTCCTTACAACATCACTAATGTGAAAATAGGAATGTATATGTATAGCTTATATTAGATTGTGCACCATCTTGGGGAGGGGGAGAGAGGGAGAAAAATTTAAAACTCAGAAGCTTATGGAAGTGATTGTTGATAAATCAAAATAAACGAATATAAAAAAAGAATCATATTCTTTGTAAAATTGCCCAACAATGCCGATCATAGATATGTAATATGCACTCAAGTATTTGTTGAATGAATTAATGAATGATGGTTCCATTGAGGGTAGTTGGTTGAGCCTGCTGTCAGAAAAACTTGGGACAAGGTGAGAGCTTTAAAGGGCAGCTAGGTGGCAAAGCCGATAGAGTGCTGGCCCTGGAGTCAGGAGGATCTGAGTTCAAATCCAGCCTCAGACACATAACACTCATTAGCTGTGTGACTCAGGGCAAGTCACTTAACCCTGATTGCCTCACCAAAAAAATTTTTAAAAAGTGAGAGTTTCACAGCCTCAGGGAGGAAAAGGGTGGGAAAGGGATGAGAGTTGAGAGGGAAAGGGCAGCTGAGGGAAGTCAGCTCTTTGGGGGGACTGGGTCTTCCTTGGAGAATCAATCAGTGTTTATTAAGTGCCTAGTAAGGGTGCTGGAGATACAAAGAAAGGCAAAAGAATTCAAGGAACTCACAATCTAGTGGGGGGGGGGGAAGATAGCACATAAAAAGATGCTGAAAGAGGGGAAGAGGGTACTCTGTAGAAAAGGATAATGAGGTGGCTGCACTGGGCTCCCTCCTTAACTGGAGAATCTGGGGCAGGGTCGGGGAGAGCTGTCTAATGTCCACCTTCCAGCGTCTCCAGTCAGAGGAAGGGAGGGGTCCCAAGGCCAGGGAGTACTCAGAAGGAATGAATTTCCGAGTAGATTCAATCATGCTGGAAGATGAGTTACTGTGAAAACAATAAGAACAGTGTAGGAGGAAAGGGACTGGGAAGTTAGCTTCTTGGTGGTGAGAATGAGTAGCACTGGAATCTCCCTCCTCAAAGATCCTTCAGGGCAAGGAAAATGAGTTGGGCTATCCAAGAGAAGGGTTGCCCTGCTCAGAGATAGGTGCCATGGTTCAGAGTTTCTAGCGAAGGGCAGAGGTTTATTTTGGTGTCCTCCCCTTGCCTCAAAAAAGTCAGAGTCATTCTTTGGGTCTATAGAAAGTAATCAAAGATTGATTAGATTCTCCTATTCGTACTACTTTTTACCTTTATAGGCAATTTCCCTCTAAGCAAATGATTTTAAATAAACTAACCACTACAAGGGCAGAAAGACACAGGTCACGTTTGTAAAACTTGTAGATCTTAGAGGTTTATTGAGAGATGTTCTCTGTAGCCCGGAGAGGTCTTGGGACTGGTGGGGATAAGATCCTTCTCTGGTCTTGTGTCTTCAGTTTCCTCTTCCCCAGCTATCCCAAGACCGCCGGGGCTTGTCGTTTCAGATCATCTGTGGGAGCCAACAGTTGGAAGCAGGGAAGGGATAGCAGCTCTCAAAGGTGCTGGTAGGGAAGGAGTGAACGTTAACCCTCAGAGGTCTCAGAAGTTGGCAGGATGGCTTTTTACAGCAGAGTTCTTCTGTCTCAAATCAGCCTGATGGTGGTGGTAGTCTGGGTGGAATCGGCAGCAAAATGTCTCCCAAAATGGCTCACAGGCTTTTCCACTTTATACAAAAAGGTTCCCATTTTTGTCCATCTTTTGTCAAAGATGGTTAAATTTTACTGGTTCCCAGGTATCCTGTGGCAGTGATTGGCTGAATGGGATGGGGATACATACTTCTTCTGACTCCTTAGGATGCAAACTATGTTATCTACAAGAACTAGAGTGCTACGAAAATTTATTTCATAGGCTGAGATGAGCATTATCACAGTTTAGGAAAGACGGAGAGATCTTCCTAACAAACACAATAGTGAGATTTTGTAGGTAAGTAGAAAAAAAGTACAGACAGTTCTCACATTACCCAAATTCGACTTTCCTAAAGAATTCTGAAAGAAATCTGCATTCCCCAAAAACATCTGTGTTAACTTTACTGTGCTCTCTTTCCACTCCTGCCTCTAGGCAGCCTTGCCACCCCCCAATCCCCACCAAAAAAAAAACCCCCTAAAAAAAAATCTTCCATGTAAAAGCAGAAGAACTGACACGGGAAAGTTTGCCTCACCTACTTGAAACCTGCTGCACAGAGAGAGGAGACATTTGCTCCACTCCACCCACCTCCCAGGTATCTGGCCCCCCACAATGCATCGTCAGCACCAGCTAAAGGGGTGACCCACAGTTGGGTTATTACATTACTTGGGATTTGGGGTTTGGTAGGAGCTAGGCCCCAAGCACAAGTGTCCCTGTGTATGACTGTCCTCTCCTGTCTTTGTTCATGTCCAGCCCCAATGTGTCTAGGTATCACCCCACCCCTCCTTCCTCCCCATTAGCCAAGGCTCCCATGTGGCTGAGCCTGATCCCAGTGTTCCTCCTCCTGCTCTCCCTTCTCTGTCCCTGGCCCTCACCTGTCTTTGAACCATATGCTGGCCCCCTTCCTCCACAAGATGGGGAGGGGGGTATGTGCAGCCTCCTTTCTATGTCCCTCCCTCCCTTCCCTAAGTCCACAGGCAAATTCACATTATATAAAATAATTTTATGTAGAGGCCTGCAGAACCCGAGAACTTTTTGTATACTAAACAATTTTTCTTGCTATTAACTAACTTGACCCACTGCTCTGGGAAATTACCTTGGGGTTTGCTTCTAGAGGAAGGACAATAAAATCTTGCTTTAAAGAACAGCTTTTTCTTTGGATTCTTTGTATGAATGAGTTGACTAGATTGGGGGTGGGTTGGCAGGATCTTTCACAAGTCTTCTAATGTTAAGGAGAACAAGGCCTCAGTTTACCTGTCCCCTGCCTGTGTATGTCTGCGTTCCCTAGCAAGCTGTGTTGACCTATTACATTTGCAGAAGAACATGGGCATTTGTAGTTGCAAAAATTGGAAACAGGAAACACATCCATGTTAAGAGTATAGAACTACTACGACTAGACATCACGGAAGTTGACTTTTTGTCGTTCCTGGCACAGGGTTCTTTGATGGCATTCCCCTCCCCCACCTTGTGGTGGTCTGACCACATTAAAGGTTAGTCCTATGGTACTTGAGATCATTACCTGGCCTGGTGGTGACCCCAGAATTGTGTCAGGCTCCCCCAGGGGGTACTGCCCATGCTTCCTCTGCAGGGTTGTGGTAAAACCATCTAAAGCCCTCTCCCACCACCCTATCC